TTGTGACTAGTACCATACAATGATCAAGTAGCCTTTATAAAAATCAAAGTATCCATAGAAACATATAAAGTAGGGTTGGAAGGGACCTCAGAAGGTCATCTAGTCCAATCCCTTGCTCAAAGCACAATCATCCCTTTTTAAAAAACATCCTACATTTATGTTTATTTAACCTGTTTCTAAACTTCCAAGGATGAAGAGTCCACAGCCTCTTTAGGTAGCTTGTTCCAATGTTTAACTACGTTCAAAGTGAGGAAGTTCTTTCTAACGTCTAACCTAAGTTTCCCTTGTGCAATTTATGACCATTCCTCCTTTTCCTGTTCCCTGTGGCCACCAAGAATTGTCACTTACCATCCTCTTAGGATCAGTTCAGGGCATCATATTACAAAGTATTTCTGCATAATATTGAGAAGAAACATCTTTTACAGTTAATGTATTATGAACGGTATTTCATATACCCATTCTGAACCTGTTTTCTAAGATGTCTAGATAAATATATATTTACCTGTATTCATTGGTATAATCAAAATCTTGTTTATTATGTGTTGGTTTTAGGAAGTTACATTCTATAATTCCAACTACACCAACACCCATGTTGTTTGCCTGTAAGATTAAAACATAAATAAAGGAGGAAGAGACAAAAGAGATAATTTTTACACTGAAGCATTTTTTTCTGTTTCCAAGGAAGACTGTTGGCAGTTTGGATTTAACACACATGTTCATTTAAACTATAACTTCATCAGAAAACAGTATGTGCCAAATATACAGAATGTTGTCAGATGGTTCCTCTTAAAACAAAACGGTGGAATTATTTTTATTTTGTACTTATCCTGTCCTTCCCCTGCCCTAGCAATGACAGCTATACACTTTACAAATTAACATTAACTCTGAAATAAATATTATAAAGTGTACAGTAGAACTTTCATCTCCAAATATATTAATTGAAACTAAAAGAACCCAGGGAATTTACTAGAATAGCACCAACATAATAGTCACCGTTTTGAGTGAGGTTACTTTTCAATTCAAACATGAATGTATTTTTCAAGTGTAAGTACTTGCCTTTAATTGACAGCCAACTCTTTCATAAGCTTTGATAAGTCTGTTTCTATGGTACATCATTATTCCATAATGATCTTTATTTCTGCAGTTAAATCCAAAGGTGATTCTTACAGTTTTAGCCTTATTTTTAAATGTTAAGGAAAATATGGTAATACAGATTTACTAACACTAAGGACATTTTTACATGCGTTTTGGGATGCAGCACTGAGTGTTTTAATTAGCGAGCCGTAATAATGAATGAAAAGCTCCTGCACATCACATGTACCGGTGTTTCCATGCTGAAAAATGGCAGCGGGGCACTTTAAACTAAAGCTCCTTGAATGTGTTTTAGTTCAAAGCACCCCGCTGCCATTTTTCAGCATGGGGATGCTGATACATGTGGTGTAGAAGGCTGCCAGAGCGCATCAATTTCCATGTTCCAGCAGACTTGATTGAGTCTGCTCCAACGCGCTGGAGTTCCAGTGCATTGAAGCAGGCTCCCCACATGTCTATGGGAACCCTATTCATCCTAAATAGGGCCTTAGACCACTCTCATGTTGGAATACTTCCACCAATCTCTGTCTGATACAATGATATACGGGTAACTACAATACTTTGTTTCCTCAAACAAAATCATGTCACCACATTAAATGTGCAATAATGTACATATCAATAAAGGATACACCCAAAAATTTTGGTCTATAAATATCACGTTCGATGTATGCAAGGCTTTTGGAAACGAGCTGTGTTTGTACTTTTTGTCCTCTTATAACAATCTGCATTCTTGGCTTCAGATACAAAATGCTACAATAAGCCTGCAAAAAAAAATCTATTATTCAAGCTGAACAAAATACAAAACAGTTTATAGTACATCCTCCCCCTACAAATTTTAAATAAGGTCATAATTAATGCTCCTTAAAGTTGATTGTAATTATAGTCTTCCATTCCTATAGTTATCAATTCAATTTGATTAACAATGAACTTGTACTTGTGTGAGCTTAACATATATTATAAATTGTAAAGCAAAACAAAACAAAGGGAAAAACTCCCTCTGAGCATGACAGAATAAACAGATACCTGAAGGTACAAATTTATCAAGAAGCAACCCACCTCCATGAAGCAAGACCCGGCCTACAATGACTAGCATTTTCAAACTAGAAACATGGTCTTCTATGGCAAACTTAATAGACTGTGGATTACCAGGGTGGTTAATGGCGATTAGCATTCATATGCAGGTAAGGCCATGCACAGCTTTCCATGTTTGTATCACACTGAGCAAAGGAGTTGCTTTCCACATAAATAAAGTGCTTTGCCAACCTAGTAACCATCACCTTTCTAGACTTATACGAGTTCAATACTTGGGTTATAATGTGAAGACACCTTCAGTTTGCTGGCTACCATACAGAAAACTTTTCCTTTCATACAATTGCATGGCAAAAATCACTTGCTGAACAGGAAGCTGCTTCAGGGGAAAACATTAAAAGGACTAAGCAAGGACATCACTGAAATATGATCAACAGCAACAACTGCTAAAAGAACACACAGGAAAACTTTTCCAGCATTTTTAGTTGCAACGTAATTGTACAGTACCCAAAATCAATACACAAATACTACTGTTAACATATAGATAACAGCTGAGAATGTTCAAAATATGTCACGATTCAGTTCTCAGCTTCTCTTGTGCAATGGTACTAGTAATTACTGCTTTACACATTTTACTACATATGATGATATGCTTGGCTAAAATCCCTAAAAAAACAACTACTGGTTGTAAGCTTGCATTCATTTATGTTTAGTTCATATCACAATGTTATATAATCAAAATACTTTTTTCAGAAAAAAATAAGCTAAGCGTTGACAAAAATAACAAGCTCCGAAACTGTGTTAATACTCAATTTATGTTGCTGCTAGCTGCATGCCATGCTGAAACTTTCAGTAGTGTGTAAACAGTAAGGGAGAAAGACTGTAAACAGGCAAAATGTGGTTAATACTCAATTAGCAATTGCAGTAATTATATTTTCCCTTTGCAAGGGAGTAAAACTGGTATAAGCATTATTCTTATAACCATTCACTAGTGCTCATGCTGATGAATGGGTAGTACCCAACAACACTATTAATTTAGCCAGTCCCGTTTCTTCTGAGCTCTCTACAGCACACCATCCCAGAGTAGTGCATCCCATGTACTGCTGATGTAGTCTTGTGTGCATTTCCTCTACTGCAGGGATGTCTAACTCACCCCAGGCCCTAGACTAGATCCAAACTACAGGGTTCCTTTTGGGGCAGATTGGAAAGGCCAGCAGCTAACTGTGGTGGGCCACATTTGGGTGGCAGTGTAGGTTCATGGCTGGGCAGCAGCATGTAGCTGCACTTGAATGGCAGCACAGAGTCAGCACAGGTCCAGGACTGGGTGGCAGCGTGTAATAGTAAGGGCTTTGCTTAATGCTCATAGCAAGAGTTTTGTATGCTGACTCCATAGTAGGCCGGTATTATAAAATGTAGCTTTTTGCTTTGTGAGAGTGACCGAACCATGAACCTAGATAGTAGAATGTTGTAATACAGTGGAATATGGTAAACACCAGGTGTGTTAGATCGTAACTCATCCGCAAATTCTTAGCTTAAAATAACCAAATCCTAGTTCGAGATAACGTTATTTACTCCAGACTATATAAACTGTACATTCTTAATTTACGGGAGTTCCTCAAACTCTAGCGAGAATCCTGACTTGTGCAGAGCCCGGAGCAGGCTATCGCATCTCCGGGATCGAGACACTCCGGGGCCAGGGGCACTATGCGGAGTAGCGGCTGCTGCCTAGAGCCGATGTGAAGTGGTCATCCTCTCTACTCTGTCTTACTGCCTGCCTCTGCGAGTATGCTTAAATAAATCTTTGCAAGAGTGAAAACAATCGTGAGTATGTCCTTTGTTCAAGCGCGGGGCATCTTCTGAACCCAACAGTTCATTCTAAGACACAGCGTAAGTCCAGGGACCCTGAATTCTGTGGCAGGCCACACCCGACAACTTCTGGTAGCTCTTTGGTCACCTGGCCCACCAGTATTAACAGCTCCACAGGCCAGATTTAGCCTGCAGGCTGTATGTTTGACACCCCTGCTCTACCGGACCACTCCAACCCTGGTGCACAGACAGATTAGGCAGTGTGATGTGTGTGGATACTAAAAAAATCTAACAGAGTAGTACTGTAGAAGAAACTGCACATTTAGGAATGTTTTATTCAAGTCTGGTCATGTGAGGACGCCAAAATAGTTACAAAATTTTATTTTATTGCACTGCAAACTAACTAAGAAGGGAAAGCCTTCCTTACAGGTTTCTGTGAAAAACCTTACAAAGGTACAACCACAAACCATAAATGAAGGTATTTCAGCAATAAAGGCAGAAAGTTCCCACAGGCAGAGTAATAGATGTAATTAGCAGAAACAATGTCTCTCCTCACTGAATTAAAAAAAATATTCTACAGAGCATGGGTGTCAAACTTATTTGCCTAAGAGACCTGATCTAGACTGCAAGGCTTCCATTAAGCCGGACAACCTGCAAACAATGGAGGCGTTAATCCTTGCGGCTGCCAGGGCCACTATATCACCAGCGGCGACTAAACCCCCAAATTTAATGCTGGGGGGGGGGCGCAGAAGGTGTAAGTGACTGGTTAACCCTGTGGATGCAGCTGTTCCAGCAGCTGTGGTGACAAGCATCATGGGTCAAATCCAACCAGTGGGCCATATTTTTTGCAACCTTGCTTTAAAGCACTACAAACAGTTCTACCATGCCCCAGAAACAGGCACAGAGCAATGTTACAAAAGCAGGGTCTGTTCTATCTAGTCATTCCCATCTCTCCCTCCTCCTTTGGATTATTCATATCAAAAGCAATCTGCAGCGGCAGTAAACCCAATACTGGTTGAGAACAAATGCAACCAAACCCTGAACACAGTATCTCTTGCTTCAGAATGCCCTCCCATGACTCCTGTCACAGATGGTCTTTGCAGAATTCTGGTGGAGAATAAAGTGGGATGAAAAATTTCTATAGCCAAATCTCCATTCTACTTTTTTAGCACACATGATTTATTTCCAGAATATGGCCTTACGTTAGGAACTTGTTCATATGAACATCTGGTAACAACCCCTGGATGGACTAACTCACCCAACACAAGGACTTTCCAAGGTACAGGGGTAATGCTGAGTTTACCTACCCACATATTTCAAATGTCAGCATGCTGGATGTACAAACATAAGAGTACACAGTATCCCCAGATTAACTGAAATGCGTGCTGACACATGGTAAATGTAATACCCGAATCCACAAGGGACTGAAAAATAGAATATCAGTGGCAAGTACATCCTCGGTTCAAGTACAGTGAGAGTTCAATTCATTGAACTCTCAACATAGCTTTCTGATTTGCAGTTCTCTGAAAAATGGTTTACACTAGATCAGGGCTGTCCAATTTGAGTGGCTGTTGGTTGCATGCTACATGGGTCCCTGCTTCCCTTCCCCTTGCCACGTGGGTCCTCCTACACAGGGAAGGAGCAAGAAGCAAAAGCTGGAGAAGGAAGCAGGAGCCCACAGAAACTAGCTGCATCAGCAACAGCAATGTCTGCATGGGAGCCTGCAGGCCATGAGTTAATCACTTGCAACCCACAGCTCACCAGTTGGACAGGCCTGTTTTAGATTACAAAGTAAGTCTATTTTAAGCTTGTGCAGATTACCCTTATAAACTAACAAATGGGGGACAGTGTGACATAAATAAAGCTGTTTTTTATTTTGCAGTTACCTTAAAGATCTAATAGAAAACACAGAGCTAAAACCAAAATAACAACAGAGAACTTTGAATTATACTTTCTAGATCTGTTATAATCAATTTATTAATTAGACCGTATACATACCCGTAGAGAATAGTCACTTTCAGGCACATTTTGGTCCATTCTCTCTTGTTTTTTATACCCTCGTTTTCCCGTTGCTTCATCTAAGTCTTCTGGAATTCTTATGTCATATTTATCCTTATCAAAATCAAATTCTGTTTTTCCATTTTTATCTCTGAGGAAGACAGTTCAAATACACTAAATTACAAAAATAACCTAAAACAGGTTCTGGGGAAGGCATAGCATCATGAGGTATGAAAGATGAAAGGGACTTGTCAACTCCTTAAAAATATCAATTCAAATCAATTTAGCCAATACCAGTACTCCACTACTCATATAACACCTCCGAGATGTTTACAGGATTCTAACAGGATCCACATAGTTCAGATTCCTCATAGTTCAGATTTTTATTGACATGGAGGTGAACAAAACATCAATTTTAACATGAGCTGGATCACACATGTATGCTAAAGTGCAAAAGTTTGTTTTACAAAATCTCTTTTATATTCCAAGTATATTACAAAAAAGGATTTTTTTGTAGTTCAATAAGCGATCTCTGTAATTCATAACTGCATTAATCTTGCCTTCATTATCTCCCTACTCTGCAAAAGGTCTCTTTTATTCAGCATCTGTATCTTTAACTGATGTACACCATTGCTGTTGACTGCCAACACCCTCATACAAAATGTAAACAAATCACCTCTAGCTCAGAGATTAGTTTTTATAAAAAGTCTTTCATAATTTAAATGATTTCTAGGGATTAAAAACCTTCTAAAGAAAGTTTTTCAAGAAAATAAATATTTTTCCATCATGGTTTCCACACCCCAGATGTAAGAATTAAGAACCTGCACAGATACCTGCTATGGAAAGCAGTGACTTCATTATATTTTGACTGCATGGGGGGTAGGGGGGAAACCAACACAGTGGAAATTAAATATTAACTTGAATATTTTCATCATTCCATCCAAGATCTTGGATTTGAGTAAACATAATATATTTAATGTAAGGAAAATAACTGAAAGTAACAATAACAGAATGAACCCAAGACTGGTTGTAGGCAACAAACTGAATATGATTGTGTAATGAGACTACATTATATGAAATAAAGATGTTTTCCCCCATACTGTACTGCTGAGGTAACCATTTAGTGTTGGGTACTTCAGTGTTAGATGGTTGCAAATAAGTTTGAGGAAAAATAAATCAAAATTATTAAGGGTATAGATTTAGATTAGAATGACAAGATAAATGAGCTGACAAAGGAAATAATACTATTTTACCTGAAGGTGAGGAGCTAAATGTCTATTTTGATACAGGTAAATGCAATATGATAAAACTGGTAAGTTCAATATAAATATATACGTAGAGAGATTAGATCAGTTATTCTCAACCTTTTTAGACTCAAGGCACCCCGCAGAAAATGCCAGCTAATGACTGTGAAACTCAAGCTGAACTGGGCCTACTCACAAAAATTAAAATACAAAATATTGATGACGACTGCATAGTGAAAGAGGATGTAAGTTTGTGGCTGGATCTTCTGAAAATAAATAATGAGGCATCACTTCCAGCGTATTTTACTATATTTATGATGATTTTAAGCAGGCTCCTGTGTTTGTGATATGTAACCGTGTGAAATGTCTATCCTTGACTAATTAGTATCATAAATATATCTTTGCAATTAACTCGTGTTTATGTGAAGGAAAAGACATTCTCCATATGGGTTTTCATAGATGTTGTTGACCTGTGGGGTCAGGCCAACTCTCAGGATCTCAAAATTGCGCTGCTAGACAGGAGGGTGTGACACAATAGCACATATACAAACACACACATGAATTAGGTGCATACACACACTACCAGCTCAGGCACATGCTCATTTAAACCAGCCTAGACACATGCATACCTATCACCAATTCAAGCACATACACACTACACACTAAAAATTAGACAAAAATCAATTGTCAATACCCGCACACTCAGTACACATACACAGATCACTAATGTGTTTATCATACACACAATGATGTGTGTGTGTGTGTATATATATATATGTGTGTGTGTGTGTGTGTGTGTGTGTGTACACACACGCACACACACACACACAGAATAGTAATCATATTCAAAATAATAATAGCTCCTTTTTGAAGATTAGCTCACACTGCATTCAGGACATATGAAATCAGAGTGACACAGATGAAGAGGACACAGGGAATCTAAGATGCTATAATTCAAGCTCAAAAAACAAGATGCTGTCTGTGGAACATGCCCCTGGGGTAGGTCAATCAGGTTACAAGTCTAAATGAGTTAGGCATGGCTGATGCAATGGCTGATATTTCTACCAGGACTGAAGCCTCTGCTGTTCAAGGTGGATAATCCTATGCTGAGATTGAGATGCGAGTCCCACGTAATGATTTATTTAAAAACTGTAATTGAGGCATCAGGATGTGCACAAGTTCATATTGAGTAAGTGCACAATGCCAATACTGTAACCCTCACTATTGTTTGATACTCCTACTCATTGCACTGCATCTAAAATTAGATAGAGTCATTTGGGACAGGGACTAGGGGTAATAGTTGGAGCTATTTAGGTGCACAACTGAAATAGCTAAATAGCTTTGAAAATGCAGCGGAAGGTGAAGGTGAGAGAGAGAGAAAGAGTTAAAGTGTAGGGAGTGAAAGTTGCCAGAACTGGGATTAGAACTGGTGGACTAGAGAGAAGCTGGCTAAACAACTGAGGCTTGGGTTTACTTAAGATCAACTGGCCCCAGGGTTACTTGAGGTCACTGGTACAGGGTGCACTCTGGTGGCAAGGAGGAGACAGCCAGGAAAGAGAGAGAGAGAAACCTGGGAGCTTGGGGCTGGAAATTGAGGCAGACAGCTGAGATATTGGGGGGGGGGAGAGATAAGTGGTGGCAAAGAGGAAACAGCCAGGAAAGAAACTGAGGCAGAAACCTGGGGAAAAGGCAGTGGGGATAAGACAGTGGCAAAGAAACAGGGGGTTTGCAGGCAGAGAGGAGCTCAGTACAGGTGCTTGAGGTGGCAGTGAGCCAGAAGCAGGAGGAGGAGAAATGAGACAGAAGTTAGAGGGGTGAGGAGCAGAGATTGGAGCAGGGCTGAGCAAACCCAACTCAGGGGTCCAAATAACAGGTTTATTAAACAGACAACACGCTACACAGCCCCATGAAGTTATTGGTTCACACACGCGCGCGCACACACACTGGCAGTAGGAGAAAGAGACTCAGTGGAAGTGTTGGAGTCCAAGTAGGAAAGAGAAGCAGAGTCCAAGTCCTTGGTTGAAGGGAGGGTTGGGGTGATAGATACCTATCCAGTCTGGAAAGGGGCCCTTGTCCAGTGGGTGTTGTCCAGAGGGGGTCACCGGCAGGGCCTCTGGGTGGATAGGTGGTGTGGCATGGTGCTGGTCCAGATGGAGAGGGCGTCCTAAGGAGTCAGTCTTCTCTACCCCTCTTTATGGGGCAGACTACCTCTGATCTCCTATGGGAGGGTCTGTCCCAGCAATGTCAGTCCTGTTCCAGAGGGCTCCAGGTGTTCTTACTGAGCATGTGCAGCTTGGCACAATGGTGAGTTGCCTCAGCTTTTGTTTCTTGAATGCTGAGGTGGTTCCAAGGGCTGGGTCATTGGTCCAGGTATGGTTGATGGTTTGGTCATTCAGAGGGAGCTATTTTCAGACCCACTACCATTGTCTCTCAAGCACCCTCATTCATCCCCATTCATTCAGGAACCAAGTTACATAGGAGGGGTAGGTGTGAGTCATAGGTTACACAGCGGGGCATGGGAATAAGATGGAGGCTTGACATTGCAAGATGGAAACTTGACATGACCTATGCTAACGTACATATACAGGCCTAAAACAGTAATCACACAATATAAAAGCAGTTAAAAACAAAAAACCTCCCCAAAAAACCCCATAATAATGATCACTTATAAAACAGTGGATACCTATATCAAAATAGCAGGGCGTTTATTTGCAAGGAGGGGAGAGAAAAATAAAACTTGCTACCTAAAATAAAATGTTAAAGCTTATCCTATATCTTAGCTTACTTATACTTATCTATAGGGAATAGAGAGGGAGAGAATAAGTCAGAAATGGTTGGGGAAGGGGAGGGAATGCATTTTAAAATAAATAAAAAAAAGAAGAACCGGGGGTTTTGCTACAATGTCTCCTCCTGATTTACTCTTGTCTTGCACCTCAGTGGTTCTCTCGATCTTCCAAGGACTCCTCAAAACCCGTTTTTCCTGGTTGTTAATCAATTTCTTGATACGCTCCAATTTAGTAGAAATTGATAACCTCCTGTTATTCAGAAAGGCAATTAAATCAAAATTGTGACTTTCTGATAACCAATAACAAACAGTTTGATTAACAAGGCTCGAACCATTGTTTCCCCAGTGGCCTCCGTAGTAGGCCATACTTCTGGCCAGCCTGTGGCTACACCCACAGCTACTAATATACATCTCTTCCCTTCACTCGCCTTTAAGGGCCCTACAAAATCCATTTGCCACTCCTCTCCTGGCTCTAGGGCTCAAATGTCTACCTGCCCACCCTGGGTATGGGGATCGTCGGTGAGTGCTGCAATCTGGACATTCCTCCAGGGCCTGTCGAACCTCCCCTCTGCCTCCGTAGCCCTCCTGCCAAAGTCTCCTCTGCATCCCTTTTCCCCCTTCATGGGCAAATGCATGGGCTGCCCATGCTGTCTCCAGAGAGTTGATGTGGGAAGGCCACATCACTGAGTCCGCCTTGGAGTTTGCAATCGCTTCCGGAGAACCACCCCCTTGATGTCCAGCCACACGTTGGATAGCCACCCCAATTTGTCCACTCATCTCCCAAATACGTTGCCCGATTTCCATTCCCCAAACAGGTCTACTTTTCAAGTGCTATCCAGCCCTTTTCCAATAAGGGATCTATTCGGTGGCTCCCTTAGCACATACCCAACTATATGTATACACTCTTATTTCCGTCCAACCCTTATCAATCCCATAAGCAATTGCTTCTTCTACAGCCTTCAATTCTGCTAATTGGGTGCTCCCTTGTATTTCACCCCTCCCATATTCTCCCGAGAAGGGGCAGTCCCAAGCCCATACTGCCATTACACCATCTGCCGCCCCATCGGTAAATAGAGCTTGAGGATCCGCAGGGTCAAAACTTTCTGCGGAGGTTATTGGGCT